CACCCTCAGATAACCAGACAAACCTCTGAGAGCCCAGACACCCCACCAGATAACCCGTCTCTTCCCCAGATAACCCAGCAGAGACACCCTTAAGGCCCCCCCTGAGGATGGGTCCCCACGTGGTGCTGCTGGGAGGGCTTCCTCGCTTTCCAGAGGGCTAGGCCACACTCCCTCCATGAAAGAGGTTTGTTCCCATGACGGTCCCAGCTCGCGACATTACCCGTGCTCTGGTGTCTGTTATCCCGAGGTTGGAGTGGGGCGTCCCAGCTCCGAGGGGCCATCTGACTCCCAGGGGGTTTGTGTGCCCCGTGGCTCAGACCCTCACACCTCTCAAGAATGGTCTTTCTCTGGTTGATTTGCAGGAGTTCTTGGATGGCCCCTTCATCAACCAGCTGTCAATCCTTGACTGAGTACTCTGTTGGGTTTATCCTTGGGGGCCGAATAGAAATCTTTGGTTTTGATGTAGTCAAAAACCATTTATTTTTTAACGGTCTGTAGATAATTCGTTCATTGAGCACCTTCACTTTCAGTGGGAAGACCATGCATTGAGGTAGGAAAGTGGCTGTTTTTCTCCACAAAGCGAGTTGGTTTTCCGGCATCATTGACTAAGGACACATCCTTTCCTAGGCCACCAGGTGTCCTCACCACCTCTGGGATGGGTCTGTCCCTTGGCAGGCCTTCAAACTCATGGCGTTGCTGTATACAAACTATATACATCTCTCTTCAATAATGACTTAGGTATTCACAGCCTTTCCCTTTCCACACACATTTTAGAAGGACTTGGTCAAGATTCTGAAAAAGAAATCTAGCTGGAGTGTTGAGATTGTTTTGAATGTATATAACCTCGGGGAACGTTGACAGATGTACTGTTGTCACCCATCCATGAAGAACTTCCCTCTCCTTGTACTTCCATCTTCTTCGCACCCTGTAACTGACGACAGTGATCTCTGTAACAGTCCTGTTGCATTGGTTTTGAGGCTGTGTCCTAGATGCATAGTTTTCGTTCCTCTGTCAATGGCCAGCTACTTTCTGCGACGTGTTTTAATTGGTGATCCTGGTAGAGGAACACGGTAGCCTCGATGCGGTCGCTCGGAGTGAGCCTGTGGGCACCAGCAGTTGTGGAGCTGCCACAGGAGCATGCACGCAGTGCCACTTGCTCTGGGGACTGTGGGGCAGTTCTCCTCCTCCCTAACGGGGCAGTGGAGCTTGACAGAAGGGGCCCCCGGCAGAGCTGAGGCCTGGACCCCAAATCCTGCAGCCTGGCCACCCCCATTGCAGCAGCCACCTCAAATGCTGTCCGCACTCCTGGGGAGGGACATGGGTGGGGATCAGAGCACAGTGGCGAACAGAGATCCTTGATGACACCCTGGACAGGGGCCCCATCCTGCAGAGCCCAGAGCCAAGCCCTTGGTCCTTTGTCTTCAGATCAGGGGAGTGGGGGACAGTGTGTCCTCAGGCTGGAGGGACACTCTTCCCAAATTCTGTCTCAGGGGGCGGGCCACACTGGTGAAGCAGCTTATCTGACATTAACAGGTGGCTTCTGACACAAGCAAGGATTTTAAAAGCGTGACTGTTACAGCAAAACTTTTATTCCCATCTCTTTATTTAGGTGAACGAGCTTTATCACCTTATATTTATGAAGATGAAAAATGAAAAAAAGAGTGAGACCCTTCTAAATACTCACTCAGCCCTAAATAATCTCCCATGAAGATGGACAGCTCGTTAACTGGTGCATGTCCAGTTCAAATTCACTTCCCATTTAGTTCTTCATGAAAACCTGCAATTACGTGTATCGTTTTGGTTGAGTACTTACACTAAATGTCAGAGTAAACCCAGGTGACGGTCTGGTCGCCAGGTTCTGCCATGTGGTCTCACAGATTAGAACGAGTGACCGCCTCTATGCGTGTGCATGCGTAGGAAGACAGCCCAGGTGGTGCTGTGGGAGCCGGCCGCCCCTTTTCAATGGCTTAAAGCAGTCAAGGATGACTTCACCCCACACACCCACCCTAGGTTGGCCGGGAGCTCCGTCCCCACGTGTCCCCGCACGCTGGTGTTGGGAACCAGGGGTGGGCCACGCTCTGCTCCTGGAGCTGGCACAGCTGTAGGTGGGGGAGGGGCGTACACCCAGTGTACCTCGTCTTCCAAGCCGACACACTCGGCCTAGGCTGTGATTTGGGGGAGCACTGCAGTTTCCAGCTGTGAAGGGCGCTGGCTGGCTCCTCTCTAAGGGGTCCAGGGTGAGGGTCACACTGGGTTGGCACAGTGAGTGCACTAGATGCTCCCATCTGCTTTACAGACACTTTACTGTACAGACATGCCACTCTACACGAGAACGGGGGATTTTAGACGACTTACAAAGGAGTGATGGTTTTCACTTGAACACCGTTTCCAAGGTTCATTTCGGGCATGTCCAAGCACAAAAGTTACCCCTGTGCAGGCCACACCTAGCAGCAGGGCCTCTCACCTCTGTCTCCCAGGTGTCCAAGCTCTGGGTGGCTTGGCCTCCGGCAGACTGCACACCTTCGAGGGTGCGTGCGGTTCCATCAGGGTCAGCGGCGGCCCCCTCTCCCTCCCTTTCGTCCGGCAGTGACGCAGCAGCTCCAAGAGCTGCGCTGTCGCCTGTTCCCGCCCTCAGTGCACAGGTGCCGAGTCCTCCATGGAACCATCCCACCTGGTCTCCCACCGGCCTGGACACCCACCCACCAGGGACAGCAGCCCCGCCCATTTTTCTGGCACTGGCAGAGACTCTCCCTGAGGTGTGGCCCCACATCTGCAGCCCTTCCCCCGCATGCAGGGAGGCAGCCCAGAGCAAGTCCTGCTGGGCCTGCGTGGCACGCCCCCCCCCACTCCCCTGCAGCCATTCTGGAGTGTTGACACCCCGTGACACCTGGTGAACGGGGTGAGGGGACGGAGCATGGTCACTTGTCCAGGGAGGGGCTTCTCTTCCTGCACCACCAGCTGGGTTGGGAGCCCACACTGGACAACTTTGGAGAAGCTTCTGGAAACCTGCCAAGGCCCAGGACCCTCACACCGGCCCCTCCCTGCTGTGCACCCCGCTAGATGCTGAGGCATGAGCCTGTCCCCGTGGCGGGCGGGCTGTGGACCGTCAGGGGGCCTGGACCACTGCAGCACCCAGAAGTGGCGCCCTGGTGCCATCTCCCGCCCCATAGACAGCCAGGTGCTCCCCACTGAAGCCTGGGAGCCCCCCCAACCCCCGGCCTTGGAGAGCGGGTCCAGGCCCCATTCCACCAGCAGGCAGCCTTGCCCTGTGCAGCTGCCCATGGCAAGTGGCCCCTTCTGCCTGGGGCAGTCAGGCACGGAGGCTGTGGCGGTTGGTGCTGTGACCACCCCTCCGGATTGCACGAGACTGCAGGGTGGGGCACAAGAGGACCTGGCAACTACGCACATTCAGGGACACAGGCAGCCTGTGAGGGACCAAGGGCGAGGGTTCCCGGGGGCACCCAGGCCAGGACATGGCGTGTCCTGACAAGCGCCAGCTGTTTCTGGCCTCTGACCCTCCATCGTCAGCCGACCCACAACAGCTATTCGTGGGGTGTCTGCAGTCAGGAGCACCCCCATCCTCAGGTGTGGGGGCCAGTGTGGGCTCTGTGCTTGGCCACCGGGGCCTCAGTTTCCCCTCCTGCAAACCAGAAAGACGGTGTTTGCAGTGTTCACAGCAGCCGACTGAGGGCCTCGTGTCACAGGGAGCATGAGGGTCCGGGCGGTCTGGGAGCCCCGGTGTGGGCACTGCCTTGTCCCTCCCTGCCACACCCGTGCCTTTCACAGGACACACAGGAAGGTCTCACAGCCACCTGCAGCCTCAGGAAGGCTCTTCGTGTTTTCCACCGGCCAAGTCCAACTCCTCACAGGAGCGCTTGGCCTCAGCGTCTGCGGGGCCTGCTGGGGCCCCCATGCTCACCCCACTATCCCAGGGGTCTTCCTGGAGCAAGTGGTCACATGCTCCCAATCCAAGTGCCCACAGGGAGCCTGAGCAAGGAGCCTGTGGGGCTTGAAAGGCTTCACAGGTCTCAAGAGTGATGCTGAGGTTTTGGGTGTTTCCAGTCATTCAGACAACAGTCACCTGGGCTTCCCAGGCAGGCAGGTGCATGCAGGTGCAGAGCAGCCCTCGGGCCCGGAAGCAAGTCATCGTGGGGCCTGTCTGCAGCATGGGTGGGTCCCTCCCGTGGGTCCCTCCCACCACGGGGACGCTGGGCACACGGACCCAGACACTGCCCCCTGCGGCTGTGAGGGGCTGAGGGTCCTGAGCCTCACTGTCCCAGGGTCTGTCTCTTGTCAAGTGGACGGC